GTAACTGGGACGCTCTAAGGACGTGAAAAGACGCAGGTCGAGCTCTGCTAGTTACACAAATTGTAGGACTTTCTAAGGGCAGTTTTCTTAAAGGACTTAATTTTCAACAAAGTAAAAAACAGGTAGCTGTAGTCGGCAACAAGAACAGTGCAAGAAGCCAAATTACTTAAGGAGCAATGTTATTCCAATTTAGATTGCCTACCCTCCCACAGGAACGTGAAAATACCGAATGGGAAGCCGCCATAGCACAACGCATGGAATAACCTAAGACCATCGTAAATACTTCCCACTGATAGCACCCCACTCATCCAATCGACTTGCTTAAAATGGAACCAGTAACTGTGCCTACTAAGTGTATTAGCTGTTTCAGGTCCTGATTTGTAGTGGGGGAAGTGGTAGCTGAATAAAGAAATAGAGCTTTACTGAAGAAACATACACTCCGTTTTTGTCCCCATCACGGTTCGCACGCTAGTAAGTCGCAATGAATAGACAGCACAGAGATTGTGCTAGCAAACGAGTGTTACTACGTAATCCCGGTGACACAACGCATGACTGAGACGGCCCCCCATGAAAACAGAATTTGAGCACGAAAGAAATCACGTGATACCACGCACACAAGGGTTCTCGAAGATAGTCTGCTGAATAGTTAACATAAGTGTAAACAGTAAGCAGCGCAGCATGCCAACACACAGTCGAAGCGGGTGGAGGCCGTTGCGCAAAGAATGCGTTAGATGACGAAATACATCGTCAGCACAAGGAGGCACAGATACATTAATAAGAGATGTTTGTAAGTATTGTAAGGTCTTTCAGATCTAACTTTATTTACATCTCTCGCTCCCTCTCTCATAGTAAAGAATTTTAAATACGGTTTTCGGTGAGGACGTTCCTGTCCCTCAAATCTTACGAGCTCAAATTAATGACCTCTGAGCGAAAAATGCACATAATTGTATTGACAGAAACCTGACTGACTGATGAAATAAGGAGCAGTATTTGAGAGTTCTAAATGCTCAAGCATACAACTTTCAAAGTAAAGGTGGAGGCTGCCAGCAGGAGATGTCAGTTGAAATCTTATGAAATAAACTAATACTCGATTGGGCTTTAACAATTAACGACTCCTAAAGTGGAGATCATCTATCGACCTCCTAGCTCCATTTAGTTATGGCGTGAAATTACCGAGTTCACTGAAACTGATATGCAAACGAGAGAACGTAGTAAACATGGGTGAAGTTAACGCCCCTCGAATAAACTGGCAAATTTCCACGGCAAACACCCAAACAATATAATTCCATCAAAACCTTTAGAGTTATCTCTATATGAATACCTTCAGCATCAAAGATTTCAGAACAAGGCTGTGAACGTGACGGTGTTCTCGTGTTCAGTAAAGAAAGTGGATTCATAGAGGGAGTGAGCCCGCAGCTAGAGTAAGTGATCTCGTCGCTTTCATATGCTTGTGTTCTCTGTGGTTAATTGCTCAACCACAAAGCAAAAGGAAGATACATATCTGAAAAAAAGATTACGCCGCGATGATATGGTTTGTTGCAGAGGAAGCGACACAAAAAATTCCTATCGGTAATTTCCGAGGTCTACATAGCGTCTAACAGAAACAGCATAACGAATACTGCAAACAAATGTGGGCTGTTTGAACTCATTTGAGCGACAATGGACGACATAAACCATTGCATACCCCCAAAATGGTTTTACGGGTACATCCGCAGTAGGCGAAAGGACGGGAATGAAACTACATGTCTCGAAGATAACATCGGAAAGAGATTCTCTTGCGACCCTCAGGAAGTAAAAATTATGTGCGGTTTTTTTTCCGGTGAAATTCAATAAAGACAACCCAGAATCTTACCTGGCTCTGGACACTGATGTCACCAGAACTGCTGCCTTTTTATCAAAGGAGAAAGACGATTTCGCAGTCCAGTTTACGCAGACAGGTCTCCTGGACCGAATAGAGACCCGGGGTTGGTACTTGAGAAATTATCTGCAAAGCTGGTGGCCTCTCGTTCATTACTCTTCGGAGTACCAACAGCCAACGTACTTCCCTAATAAGAGAAGAAGACTTCGAGAAATAAATTTAATGTAACTTTCATGCAAAACAATATAATCCCTTATAAAGCCTTTTGTGGTACAAGTTCCGACTGGGACGCAGTGCGCGACCCCACTCAACATAATTATTATAACTACCTATTTATTTTGTAAAAGTAGGAGTGTTTGATTTCCGCTCTGCTGTTCGGCGGTTTTGTGTAGGTTGCTGCCGTCTGGGCCCTTACTCATACTCCTGTGGGTTGGGTTTGACTAGGAGACCGTTTTAGACAACATCTCGCGTCAGCAATAGGCTAAGAGGGAGTGTTCGTCAGGTTTTTACTCGGTTTCCTTTTCAAG